TCACGTGTATCCATACGTAGACGCATGTAAAACACAACACACGACATTGGATGCCTGGGCTCCCTGGTCTGTCTCGCCGACACCCGAGCGGGTGGCCGCCTCGGCGGTTATCTGGGGAGACGCTGGTCCAGGATTCCGGTTGTATACGCAGCGAGGGGACATTCATCTCGTGCTACTTCTTCTGCTTATCCTCCTCCTCCTCCTTCACCTTACCTCTTTCATTCCTTCGGCACCTTTCTGACGCGTGTCGTGGCCCCGTAGGGAGAGCTCCACCGAAGGCCCCAGTGGCACAGGTTGCATGCGCCACCGCCACCCATGTCGGCACACCGCTCATACGGTTCGTGGCTCCATAGGGAGAGCTCCACTGAAGGTCCCAGTGGCAGGGTTCGCATGGCGACGCCGCCCCCACACCCCATACCAGGATCGTGGCCGCATATGGAGCTCCGCCGAAGGCCCCAGTGGCAGGGTTCGCATGGCACCGCCGCTCTATTTCGGCACACCCCTCACCAGGATCGTAGCCCCATAGGGAGCTCCGCCGAAGGCCCCAGTAGCAGGGTTCGCAAGGCGACGCCGCCCCATTTCGGCACACAGCTCACCAGGATCGTGGCCCCACAGGGAGCTCCGCCGAAGGCCTCAGTGGCAGGGTTCGCATGGCGCCGCCGCGCCATTTCGGCACGCCCCTCACGAGGATCGTAGCCCCTTAGGGAGCTCCACCGAAGGCCCCAGTGGCAGGGTTCGCATGGCGACGCCGCCCCATTTCGGCACGCCCCTCACCAGGATCGTAGCCCCAAAAGGAAGCTCCGCCGAAGACCCCAGTGGCAGGGTCCACATGGCGACGCCGCCCCATTTCGGCACGCCCCATACCAGGATCGTGGCCGCATATGGAGCTCCGCCGAAGGCCCCAGTGGCAGGGTTCGCATGGCGACACCGCCCCATTTCGGCACGCCCCTGACCGTGGCCACATAGGGAGCTCCGCCGAAGGCCCCAGTGGCAGGGTTCGCATGGCGCCGCCGCCTCATTTCGGCACACACACACACCTCACCAGGATCGTGGCCCCATGGTGAGGTCCAGACGCACATGTTATACCGCGTGCGCTATTCCGAGTTTGCGTATCCCCCTCCTTCGTCTCATCTCCCTCGCAGTATCCGCAGCTGCATACGGTCCCTCTTCCTCCTCCTCCTCCTCCTCCTCCTCCTCCTCCTCGGGCTCGTGCTGGTGGCATCGGAATCCGTAGTGGATGGATTCATCCTTCTCCTCTTCTGCCTTCTCCTCCTCCACATGTTCCTCCTCCTCCTCCTGCTCCTCCTCCTTTTCCTCCTCCTTCTCCTCTTCCTCCTCCTCCTCCTCCCCCTCCACTCCCCTTCACTCCCCTCCGCGCCCAGTCGCGCCTCGCCCTCTTCGCCCCCCTTCCCTCCCTTCCCCTTGCCCCCCAGCTTCCACTCCTCGTCGTTACCCTCGTCGTTATCCACTCCTCGTCGTTCTCCTCGTCGTTCCCGGCCCCTTCTGCGCACTCCTCGTCGTGATCCTGGGGGGAGGGCGGAGAGAGGGGGGGCGAGGCAGGGCGTGGGCGGAAAGAGGGGGAGGACGCGGAGGGGGTGGGGGGCGGAGGGGCAAGGGGACGGGAGGACGAGGGGGTGGCAGGGGACGAGGCGGAGGAGTGGTGGCGGTCGAGGGGTGATGTGAAGGGGGGCAGAGAGAGGGCGGGGGGGAGGAGGGGGAGAAGGACTGGGGTGGAGGAAGAGGAGGAAGAGGAGAGGGAGGGGCACGTGGAGGGAGAGTGGGTGGAGGAAGCGGAGGGGCGGTGGTGGGAGAAGGAGGGGTCACAGGAAGACGTAGGGGGTACAAGGGGGGAGGGGACGGCCGTCTCAGCCCCTCCTCTCCCCAGCGCCGCGCGCCGCCGCCGCCGCACCGTTCCCCGGAGGACGGCCGCGGCCCCTCGCCGACAACGGGGGACGTCCAGGGAGGATTGCGAGGAGGGATGGGGGGAGACAGGGGGCGAAGGATGGGGGAGGACGAGGGCGAGGTGTGCGGGAGGACGCGGACGAGGACGAGGACGAGGAGAGCGCGGGGGAGGGGGAGGACGAGGGCGAGGCGTGAAGGGGGGCATGCTCCGCGCCCTCCTCCTCCTCCTCCTCCTCCTCCTCGCTCCTCCTCCTCCTCGCTCCTCCTCCTCCTCCTCGCTCCTCCTCCTCCTCCTCGCTCCTCGCTCCTCGCTCCTCCTCGCTCCTCCTCCTCCTCCTCCTCCTCCTCCTCCTCCTCCTCCTCCTCCTCCTCCTCCTCCTCCTCCTCCTCCTCCTCGCTCCTCGCGGCCGCCCCCCCCGTGCACGGCGGAGAGGTCGAGGGGCGAGAGCGCGGAGGCCGAGGGCGCGGAGGCCGCGGGCGCCCAGGCGGTCGTTGGCCTGCCCCGCCAGGCCAAGGGCACAGCGACGCTGCGCGAGAAGCACGCGCTGGCCGCCGTCCCCACGTCGGCGGACTGCGGGAGCGCGTCGTCCCTCGGCGGGACGGACGAGTCGAGGAGCTCTTGGCGTCATCGTCGCGGTCGTCCTCGCCCCCGTCGCCGTCCTCCTCCTCCTCCTCCCTCCTCCTCCTCCTCCTCCTCCCTCCTCCCCCTCCTCCTCCCCCCCTCCTCCTCCTCCTCCTCCCCCTCCTCCTCCCCTCCTCCTCCCCCCTCCTCCCTCCTCACCCTCCTCCTCCTCCTCTCCCTCCTCCTCCTCCTCCTCCTCTCCTCCTCCTCCTCCTCCTCCTCCTCCTCTCCTCCTCCTCCTCCTCCTCCTCCTCCTCCTCCTCCTCCTCCTCCTCCTCCTCCTCCTCCTCTCCACTCTCCTCGTCGTTGTCCTCCTCGCTCTCGTCCCTCCGCATTCTTGCCTCAAGCCTTCAGGCTCAAGGTTCTGGCTGAAGTCTGGCGTAGATGCGTCGGCTCAGATATCCGTGAAGCAAGGCGTCGGTGTTGGCATCAGGAGCTGCAGCCTTCGCCTGCAGTCACGTCGAGAGACCGTGGCTGGCCGGCCTTGACGGTATACCCTGGCGGTTATTTCGGTCCCTGTTGGCCGAGGACGAGTACGTGAAGTTCGGACCGGATGAGAAAGTGAAGGAGCTTATTCAAGAGGCTTACGCCATTCCGCCGACCCCCAGATGAGGAACTGTGCGGCTTCCGATTCCGTATATGTTGTCTGCCGCGCCCCATCGTGCTGCCTGCGTGTATTTCGGTGGCAAATCATGGGAGCCTGGTATACCCTCTTCATTCCGTCGTCAGCGGCGACTAGCGTCTGGGAGTCGGTGAGATAGCGCCGAATTAGTGTCGGCTAGCGTCGATTAGCGTCGAATTAGCGTCGACTAGCATCGCTGTAGTGTCGATTAGCGTAGATTTAGCGGAGATTCGCATCGATTCGCAAGAGACGACAAGATGCTATGGGAGGCTCCCATGAGCTGCCACCGAAGTGTAGATGCTGTCTGGTTTGTCCACCTATTCCTCCGCGTCTGCTGGGGGGCCTCTTGGAGGCCTCTTGGAGGGGCTGCCTCTCAGGAGCCTTTTTCTTTCACGGCTCCCCTGGGTGCTTTGGTTGGGGGATTGTTTCTGGGCCTCTTCGGCCGCCTTGGGCCAACCCAGGGGGCTCCTCGGGCCGTCTCGTGGATCAGAACCCTGAACCACTTCGTGCGTCCTTGAAGGAGTTCGTTCAAGGGCACAAAAGAACGCCCCTACCCTGGTTTACGACGCGCTGTGCGCTGAAACTCCTGTGGGCTGACAGGATAAACCCTGCGTGATGTGCCGCGTCCTGGCGGCTCTAGGCTTTGGGGGTTCCTAGGAGGTTTACAGACCACGCACTTGTGACCTGTGACCCAGTGTAGGGTCGTTGCTTCATCCCTCAATTCGTGGGGCGCTGGGCGCAGCCCATTCCGACCGCCACGACCTGCAGGTGGTGCCCGCCCGCGCGCCGGGGGGCAGCCAGCTCCGATGCCTTAACCTCAGGGTGGGCTATTCATCGAGGGGGGGGGGCGACTAACCTTCCGACGGAGCTTGCCCATCCCCCCCCCTCCTCCACCTCCTCCCTCCTCCTCCTCCTCCTCCTTCTCCTCTCCACTCCTTTCGTCGTTGTCCTCCTCGCCCTCGTCCCTCTGCATTCTTACCTCAAGCCTTCAGGCTCAAGGTTCTGGCTGAAGTCTGGCGTATATGCGTCGGCTCAGATATCCGTGAAGCAAGGCGTCGGTGTTGGCATCAGGAGCTGCAGCCTTCGCCTGCAGTCACGTCGAGAGACCGTGGCTGGCCGGCCTTGACGGTGTACCCTGGCGGTTATTTCGGTCTCTGTTGGCCGAGGACGAGTACGTGAAGTTCGGACCGAATGAGAAAGTGGATGAGGAGGAGGAGGAGGAGAAGAAGGAGGAGGAGGAGGCGGGGGAGGAGGAGAGCTCCTCCTCCTCCTCCTCCTTCTCCTTCTCCTTCTCCTTCTCCTCCTCCTCCTCCTCCTCCTCCACCTCCTCTCCTCCACCCCCCCCCTCCACCCGCTTCGAGAGCACGTGCTCAACCCCCCAGCGGGCCCAGGGGGGGGGGGGGGGCGATGATTGCCCCATCCAGAGAGGCGGCTTAGCTGTGGTGCCCGCCGGGAAAAACACATGTCGAGCGAGACGCGCACGGCAGCGAGAGCAGCTGCCAGCGCTCGTGCGCGAACAGCCTCGGCGGCTCGAGGGGCGGCGCGGAGCGCCGAGGAGGGCCGACGGTGATGCGCTCGGCATCGGCGCTCCCGCCGCACTGGGCTGGTGTGGCTCCAGCACGGACGACGACGACGACGACGACGACGACGACGGCGACGACGGGCGGCGGCGGCGGCGGCGGCCGTCGTCTTGGAGGCGACGACGATGACGAGGACGCAGCAATAGCGAGGGCTACGGCGGCGGCGGCGGCGCCGACGACGAAAGCGCGCCACTGGGTGCCCCAGTAATTGTAAAGGGTGTGTGTGCTCGCCCCCCCCCATCGGCATGGCGCCAACATCGCAGAGCGGATTTCGTTCGGAAGACGGTAGGATGGGGCCCTGAGTGTCCTGGAGAATTTCGTTCCGGATTTCGAGGTGGCTGTCGTGCGATGTTTTTTGGCCAGGAATGAAGTCTAAAACAATCTACGCGGAATTCACATCGTTTTTCAGTCGCCGTTTCGGGATTTTGCATTCGCATAAATCCACGCAGAAATCCGCTGCAGCACGTCTGCAAGGTCGGTGCAGTGAGACATCGGGCGCTCCAATTTTTTTCGATGCGCGGACCCCCAGAGGTCCAGACGGCTTCCCCAGGGTTGGTTTTTGGCCGTGAGTCTTTCGTTGAAGGTTCCAGGGCCCGTTGAGGGCCCCCAGAGGCCGAAGACAGCAAACAGCTGGCCGCTCTAGTTCATCTTTTGGAGCCGTGAATCTCTGGAGGTGAGGCGACGATCAATGGAGAGGAAGCATGTTGCCAAATTCCGGATGCTTAAGACATATTTGAAACATGTCTTAAACATGTAAGACATATGTTGAACTCGCTCTTAGAACACTTTTCAAACACTTTAAACACATTAACAATTCAATGATGCGATTGTTAGGGTGTCCACTGTCATGGCATCCACAACTCTAGGGTTAGGGCGAAAGCGGTGGCGATGACGGCCGTGCCTTCGCGATTCATGCAGAACGCACGCTTCAGCAACCCGCCTGCCCCTTGTTTCTTCCGTCCATCCGTCCTCTCTTCCCTTGCCTTAGGTGCTGCACGACATACACGTTGCAAGTAATAACGATACACCCCTAAGGGGGTAAGATCGAAGACGAAGAAGGCGGGTATCGATGGTTTGGGACATACGTGTTGACTGGCACGCGAGCAGATAAGAGCGAACAGTCGTAAACTGATTGTCGATGTTCTTGTCGCTGCTCTCGTTGAACCTTCAGTATTGAAGAATAACCCCCCACCAGTGCACATTCTGTTTTTCAATTGATATGCTCCTCTCGGGGCACGCAACCAGATTTTTTTTCAGGGAACGTCTTCCTGCTCAAACTATGCTGCCGCCTCCCCGGCTACAACAACAACGGCAGCTCCCGCCTGATGCTTCCTCACAAACCAGTCCCAAATTTCGCCCTCGCGTGGGAGTTCCGCACGATCTATACTGGTATCGCGCTCTTGCGTGTGACTCCCTTGCAATTCATTCATACGCCGCGCCCTCGACCCTCAGGAGTCATGGTTTTTCTAATGATTTACGTGGGCATCGAGCTATCGCTCGAGACTACCTCGCGATTCATGCAGCACTCACGCTTCAGCAACCCGTCCTCTCGACTTGGCCGCCTGGTTCTGCCACGTGTGTTCTGCTCCTAGCCCCTCTCCTGCTCATTTCTCTCGTGCTCCATTTGTTTCCCTTCCCTTTCCTCTCTTCTCCTGTTTTAGGGGCTGCGCTACATGCACGTGGCAGGCAAGTAAGATATCCCCCTAAGAGGGTGCGATCGAAGACGAAGTGGGCGGGTATCGAGGTTTTGGGGTATACGTGTTGAATTGCACGCGAGCAGATAGGAGCGAACAGTCTTGACCATATTGTTGACTTCTCACTTCTAAAGAATAAGTGCTGATGATCCCCCCTCTCCGGTAAACATGGTATTTTTCAGTTGAAGTGCTTCTCCCGGGGCTCGCACCTTGAAAGGGAAAGTGAGTCACCAAACTGTGCCCCTTGCAACCGGTTTACAACCTCAACAACAACGGTTCCCGCTTGATACTTCCTCAGCATGTATTCCAAACTCGCGGTCTCGCGTGTGACTTCCTTTGAATGTATAAAGGAATCGCGCTCTTGCGTGTGACTTCATTATTCAGACGCGCGCCCCCGATTCTGAGGAATTGGGCATCGCGTTATCGCTCAAGACTTCCCGCGATTCATGCAGGACGCACGCTTCAGCAACTCGCCTGCCCCTTGTCCCTTCCGTCCATCCGTCCTCTCTTCCCCTGCCTTAGGGGCTGCACGACTTACACGTTGCCGGTAAGAAAGATATACTCTTCATGGGACACGATCGAAGACGAAGAGGGCGTGTATCGATGGTTGGGGATTTACGTGTTGAATGGCATGCTAGCAGATAAGTGCGAGCAGTATTAGACTGTTTGTGGTTGCTGCTGCTGTGTTGGTTGTTGTTGTTGCTGTTGCCTCTGCTGTTGTTGTGGTTGTTGCTGTTGTTGTTGCTACTGCTGATGTTGTTTCTGTTGTTATTGTTGTTAAGCACGCAATCGCGAGAGGAGGAACATGATGGAATCCCCTTGCCATGAGTTGGGTAAACGATCGGAGGCGCATGGTCCATGGAATGTGGTTACAATCAGGTCAATGCGCAGGCAACGCTTGCATTCCGTGCGGACGTGGCTACAACCAGGTCAATGCACAGGTAACGTTGTGCGCTGCTAGGCGTTGGATTCGTTCGGTGACCATCTGGAGGTTTGGGGGTAAACTGATCATGTCGCCGCGCCGTTCGTTCCGACGCGCCGCGCTGCGTCTTTGGGGAGGGCGCCGCGGCCACCAGGGCGAACGCCGCCTCGGGCGCGTGGGCTTGCCGTAGGGTTTGCCGCGGTGCCGGCGTCGTCTATTGTGGGCGCGGGGCGCAGGGCTTGCAGTGGGTTTGCCGTGGTGTCGGCGTCGTCAACTTGGGCGCGTCGAGGACTCACGGCGGGGCGCCATAGATACGGGGCCAAAAAGTATACACCACCATCTCTCTAACCCCATCCTTCTCCCAGGAAAGAGGAGGGGAGGAGGGTAGAGGAGGGAGTAGGAATGGAGGTGGTGGTGGTGGTGGTGTATATTCTTGGGGCCCGCAATCGAATGAATCAACACAAGTCGGACCCATGGAATTTCTGCGGAAGGAAGGAGGACGTGCTCAGCAGCCTGTCGCAAGGGCCTGCCCCGCGCGGTTCTGCTCTTCCGGGCCGCGGCCGCGGCACGCAGGGGAACAAGGGGCGGCAGCGCGCAGGCGCAAGGTTCTCTGCGGCTGCGGCGGGCAGGTGGCCGCCTCGCGCCGAGGTCGGCCTCAGAAGCGGGTAGCTGCGCGGGGTTCGCGCATGTTCCCAACTGACGTTCGGAATGCTGTTTTCATTTGCCCCATGCCCACCTCCATTCCTTGTCCTTGTCAGTCACCTCCTCGTCCTCGTCCACCTCCTCTCATCCTCTCTCCCTTCCCTCATTCTCGTCTTCCTCCTCGTCTCTTCGTCATCGTCCTCCTGCTCCCCTTCCTCCTGCCCCACTAGTCCCCTCCTCTACCTCCTCCTCCTCTCCCTCCGTCTTCCTCCTACACCTACTCTTTCTTTACTTCTCCTCCTCCGCCTCCGCCTCCTCCTCCTCCTCCTCCCATTTCCCTCCTCCATCTGATCCTCATTGGCCAATCGAGGAGTACTTCTTCCAGCGAGCTCCATACGCCGGTCAACGTGCCTGCCATGCAACTCAAGGTGGTCGTCCAGCAGCAGCGACAGTAGCAGTGCCAGTGCACTTTGCAGTCGTACTTTGTATTCAATATTCATATTTTTAGCACCGATACCTGTAGTAAGTACCCCTCGATGGGACTCGACATCAGCACCATAATGTTTTCTCTTTCGCACAAGCTCAGGAAGAAAAGCTGTGGGTACTGCTTTTGCAAGGTGTTGTCCCGTGCCTGCTGTGCGACCGAGGCATATGATTTTCCCAGCTGGCGTTCAAGCAACATGTAGGGTATGACTGAATACTGTTCAAACTTGCCCTTCCCAGTCCGCTGAACATTGAAGATGTAAGGTGTTAGGGAACTCTTGCACGTAACACATTCCCTGCGATTATCAACCTTATGTCTCCAATCTGCCCGATCCTTCCCGTTCGCCATCGCCCTCTTGCTCAGCGCTCTTCTTCCTCAGCTTTTGAATTCTGGGAACAGGCTGGGCCGCGCATGTTGTAATGCTCCTGAGCGTACAGTGTCTGAGACCTTCAATTTTCAATGTTCACAAGGGTGGGGATACTTAGTCTTAAAACGGTCTCAAACAGACCCATCTAAATACACATGCTTATGTGAATGCGGTGAGCCCCCGACCAAAGGGCGTGCGGCTTCGTCATCTTTAACCGTATTTCGATATCCGAATATACACGCACATCTTTCTCTCTCTGCCTCCATCTTTGGCTTCCTCATTCGTTTCCCTTTGCGCTCCCTACTCTCTCGAACTATAGTCTTTGTGAGATTCGCTCACCGATCTGTTACATTCTCTGCGCTCTCCTCAGAGAGTAATACTTATACCCGAAAAGGTGTATTATCAGAGAGCGTATAATGCCGAGGGAACTTCGATGGACATAACGACAAGGGACACCATACAGGGTGGAAGCGCTTCAGTCTGTGGTGGGTGTGCCAAGTGCAGGGGGGCACCAGCAGTACAACTAGCGCAGGGGGGGGGGGGGGCACATGGTGCAGTGTGTGAGACGTGCAGGGAGCTTGGGGGGTGTATCTGGGACGTGCAGGGCGTGTGGGTTGTGTACTTTGAAACATGAGGGTGCGTGACGGGCGTGCAGTTTGAAGAGATGGTCTGTCAGCGGTGGGGTATAGAGGGTGATGTGTTAGCTGAGAGGGGAAAGCAGAAGATGGAGGGGAAGTAGCAGTAGTAGTAGTAGCAGTAGTAGTAGTAGCAGTAGTAGTCGTAGTAGCAGTAGTAGTAGTAGTAGTAGTAGTAGTAGTAGTAGCAGTTGTCTTAGTAATAGTAGTGGTAGTGTTAACAGTAGTCGTTTTTGTAGTCGTAGTCGTCGTAGTAGTCGTAGTAGTAGTAGTAGTAGTAGTAGTAGTAGTAGTAGTAGTAGTAGTAGTCGTAGTAGTAGTAGTCGTAGTATTAGTAGTAGTAGTAGTCGTAGTCGTAGTAGAAGTAGTAGTAGTCGTAGTAGAAGTAATAGTAATAGTCGTAGTAGTAGTCGTAGTAGTAGTAGTAGTAGTAGTAGTAGTAGTAGTAGTAGTAGTAGTAGTAGTAGTACTAGTAGTAGTAGTCGTATAATAGTAGTAGTAGTAGTGTAGTAGTAGTAGTAGTAGTAGTC